AACAGCAAATTTGCAACCAAAAGGTGAGTGAGCGTAGCGAACGAACTTCAACCTGGAGGCGAGTTAGCGTAGCGAACGAGCTAACCTGAAGGCAAGTGAGCGCAGCGAACGAGCTCCAACCTAAAGGTGAGTGAGCGTAGCGAACGAGCTCCAACCTAAAGGTGAGTGAGCGTATCAAACAAACTTCAACCAGGACGTGATTGAGCCATGCGAACGATATAATCTTGAAAATTAAGAAGTTAAACGGGGCAAAGCCCGCGGGTTACAGCTAGTAAGTATATATCCCATCTATATGGACCAGCTGTAGCCATTTTTTAAAAGAACGTAGTTGTGTGAGCCAGTCACAGAATGCGCTAGTGTCTAAAATTCTATTTTATACCTAATTCTTTTGCTGGCCAGGTTGATGGGTGATAACTGTTGCTATAGCTCACCGTAAATCATTTCTTAAGTTTGACTTGGTAAAAAAGTTTGCTTATTCGACGGAATTTAGTAATTTAGATCAGCGAAATCTGTCGGAGGCTCACTACGACGATTTAGATAAAATACCTGGCTACACATTTAACATAGGGAGGGATAGAATGTCTAGTTGTATTAATAGTCAACGCTTATAGCCATGACAGCTGGTATGCATACTCTATGACAGTTCCAATTAAATACTAATGAAAAAATGTTCACTTTCGGGCCAGTGACGTAATTTGATCATGTTTGATATCTATTCTGTAACCATCTCGTAGCAAAGGACGCTCAAAGCAACTAGTATTTTAAACATAAAATGGATCTCTTTTCTATTTGCCGTTTACTGACGACTAGACGATTCCACGGATTGTAGAGATGGCAGTCATTACAGTAACGGCCCGAGGCATGCGACATTTGAAATGGAGGCCTATAATGCGACCAGCATATCAGGGTCAAACGGAGACTTGTGCATGCTCCACGCTCTGATACGTTGTTATTGTTGTTGTTGTTGTTGTTTTAGTTATTGTTTTTGTTAGTGGTGACGTTCATTTGGTGTATTAGTCAGGGTCTTCGTTCAATCGTTGGTTTGTTACCGTCTTTTTCTTACTTCTGTTTAGGTCCAATATATTGAATTTTCTGTGCTTATGCAGCAGCAGTTAAAGATTCTGTTATAGATAGTATTTTCGTTGATGTTATTGCAGTCGTGTTTTATTTGTTTAAGTATTTCCTTGAATGCTCCATAAGTCCATTGGAGTGGCCATTCTAGGTTTTCTATAGCATACGCAGCAGCTGTTGTAGGATTTCATGAAAGAGCTGTTTTAATTTGGGTGTTTGATATCTTCATCTAATTGTTACGGAGTAATTTATTGGCCGATCAATGAAGTGGTGTAAATCAATAACACTTTTCAATAGTGTAGTAACACAAAGCGTTAAACATTTGTCTATTGTGTGAACGTTCACTTTCCACGTCATCTGTCTACGTATTTTGAAATGGTTGTAACAATTTCTTGTCCATAGTTTTGAATATCAAACGACACAAAACCGAAAATTCAAGCCTTGTGCCACAAACCCATTTCACCATGTCTCCGATTTAGATGGGGAATCATATGGACATATTTTAACCCAGAGTGTTAAGTGAAAATGCTCTGTATAGCTATTTTCCAGGCTAAGTTCAGCTGTTTTATGGGCTACAATTATTTTCAAAACCCAATGAACAAGAATACTAAATCCGGTTTCAAAAAATCCATAAAAAAGGTTTAGACTTATCTCAGTAATGAACCGGCAATCACCTCATTTACCCAGCTGTAGATTGTATAACCAAACTAATTTCTTAAAAGACGGACAATTTTACAAGTAAACAAAAACACCCGTCTTGGTTAACTTAAAATCGGCGACTTTCGCAACGAGTTAAACAGCCAGGAGCGGCAAGCCTGGGTTGACCAAATCCAAAACCGCAGTTCCGACCACATAATACCTCTCATGATTGTGTGGTTCCGCGGCATTGACTTGTGCGGTTCGCGGTTCAACTGAAGCTCATAACCGTTAGACATCGTAGATGCGCCTCATCTGCTGCGATTAATCTTGCGAAATACATTGTAACTGGCGGGGCCTTGAACTCCGAGTCCCTTCTCTGTTTCGCAACAGAAAAGTGAGTAAAGTCTTAACCTAAAACAGTTTAATCCGGATGAGAAGTCAACTGTTGTTTGAATGACTTCATATCATATTGGTCCCTTGTTGGAGGAACTGTTTTGATTGTCCTTAATTACTGGATTTTGTGTAGTACCAAAAACTTACTGCAAGAGGAATCGTGAAAGTAAAAAATATAGGGCAAGGATTGGTGGATTGGTCAAGAGTGTCTTTAGGGAATCTAACCTAATCCTCTACTCCTAGGATGGCCTTCTAATCAAACTTAGCCATCTACTGAACCCTAAACTTCTACTCCAACCTTATACTCCCTATTATTATATTAGCCTTATACTCCAAACTAAATCTTATACTCCTAGCAAGTCTTCTACTCCTACCTAACCTTCTACTCCAACCTAACCTTCTACTCCATCCTAGACTTCTTCTCCAACCTAACCTTCCTCTACAACCTAGCCTTCTACTCCAACCTAACCTTCTACTCCATCCTAGACTTCTTCTCCAACCTAACCTTCTACCCCAACCTAACCTTCTACTCCAACCTAGCCTTCTACTCTAACCTAATCTTCCCCTCCTATCTAGTTTCCTACTCTAACCTCTAACCTAAACTTCTACTCCAACCTAATCTCCTCCTGCTGTCTAGCCTTCTACTCAAACTTAGCCATCTACTGAACCCTAAACTTCTACTCCAACCTTATACTCCCTATTTCTATTAGCCTTATACTCCAACCTAATCTTATACTCCTAGCAAGTATTCTACTCCTACCTAACCTTCTACTCCAACCTAGCCTTCTTCTCCAACCTAACCTGCTCTAACAGGGAGGAAGCTCTCTCCTACCCCTCTACGAAACACTCTGCACAACACTCATGTTTGAAACTAAAAATCGATTTTAATAACAACCTGTAGTGAACCTTTAGCCGTCTACGTACCCAGGAGGCACGACGTTTGTTCTATTCTTCACCAGTTGCGACACAGCGTTGCCCAACCTCTGCCGGCGGCCTCAGGAGTCCCTTCAGATTGACAACCATTAATTAACTATTGTGCTGTGTCTAGACGAGCAGAGCGACTGACATGGAGTGGGCAATTGTCTATTGCATCATGGGTCGTCCGTGTGGCTCCATTCTGGTCCTTCAATGAGTGGGGCACCGGATTTAAAATGGTAGTTTCACTTTACTAGGTGATTTTATGAAGCTCTTAAAGTAAAATGAAACGTTTTCTTACTTCCAATAACATTGTTGTCATCATCTATTGTTCTATATTGACGAAGCAGCTTTGATCTCTTGAGTTTAATGATATTCTTTTTCAATCCACACCTCTTTAGGTAAAGCCATCCATCTTCTAGTTGTAGTTGTTCTTCTCCAGCTTTAAATCCTCTTTTATGATAACATAACATGCAGTTTCCTTCGGGGTATAGTATAAGGTATATTTTGGTAGTCTAATTATGATATTTTGGTGCGTATGAGGGAGAAGTCTATACCCAGACCTACTCAAATACATTTTGAAGGGTTTAAGCCGATCTCCAGTGTCAGTCGGTAAGTTGACAGGTATGCACACAAAATACGTCACTAGCGTAGAAATCAACAACAAATAAACTCACTTAACATCAATAAATAAACTTTATTTAAGTGTGTGCAGGTATGAATCTTGTATAGTAACCTTTTAAAAATGAATTTTCCAAAACTGCAAATCACTCCCAAGGTAATGTGTTCAGTAAATATACAGTTGGAGATACGAAATTGGAGGCTTCGAAGTGCAGAAGCCCCAACAACATAAATGTGTTTTTTTTTTATGATAGGCCATTTTTGGTTTAGAATCTTCAACAATAGCTGGATTTATTTTTTAGTCTGATCCAACTAATCAGTGAGACAACCATACACTACCCTCAACGTAATTCAGTATTTCTAACAACTCTAACTGCCTTTTGAATTTCCACGACGCCGCGTAATGCGCTATGTAGAGCAATGCACCGCCATTGTCGGCTAGGAGATAACTTCTCATGCGCAATATGCCCCATTGAATGCTAATCAGGCGCATGCGTAGTACTTGGTCAGCACGGCGCGTCTGCGCATGCGTAGTACTTGGTCTGCGTCTGCGTCTGACCTTGGCCCACTACAGCAGCTGGAGTCGCGCTTTGCCACAACTTGGCGCTTTCATCCGAGGAATGTCCCGCGAAGCTGCGTGACTAGAAGATAAAACGTCATTTGCGCGTTTTCTAGAGGAAATCCTCTTGACACGGAATGGGATTTGGAGTAGATTGTGAATCCAATTTTGCTTCTGTGTTTTTCTAAGCTTTGAAATTTGCTTGGAATGTTTTTCCTTGACAATTATTACTATTTACCAATTAGGTTAGGGACACGTATATTTTAACCCATGAGTGAAAGATAAGTGTCAAAAGAAGTGTCCAGATTCTTTAATAGCTTTTCTCATTATCGAAAGATTCTAATTAATAGGCAGACTGTATAATCACTCAGAAACTCAGCTACAAGAGGGATACTTTTGGAAGTATATTGAAGAAATGTTATAGTATAAGTATCATAAAATACAGCAAGGTTACATAAAGACTCTACAGTCTGATGTGGTCTATCACGCGCTCTCTCTAAACTCTCAAGTAATGCCTACAACGATTTTAAGAGGAGAGTCATATACTGTATGTAGATATAAACTATGCATCCGTATTCATAGTTGACTGTTGAATATTGTTCATGAAATTACTCACATTTCGACCTGGACTATATCTGTCACACAGATAAACCTTGAAGAGACTGTTTATTAGGTTATGTTTCGTCGAGTTCTCTCACCCACTAACATGTTCTCCCTCTCAGCACATATTTATAAGCTCTGTACACAATTTGTGACTTAATTTTACAATACTTGATGACTAATATTTGTTTGCGTGTTGCAGGGATCGGACCCCCGAGTGGCGACATGTCGCGGCAAGCTGCAGAACAAACGAAGCAAACTCAACCAAGAGATCAACAAAGAGTTGCGACTCAGGGCTGGTGCGGAGAATCTCTTCAAGTAAGTACAAACCTCATGTATGTAGTTTTTGGCTGGAGTATAACCCCTAAATGAATAAGCCATTTATAGGTAGTAACACAAATCCTATTATCATTCTCAAAATGGTCCACTACACTGGATAAAGGCTACAGACAGGTTTTGCAGTTTTTTTTTTAGGACGCTAAGCACGAGCCCGGGATTGTTTTTCACATTACTTCAGGCTAGACCTAAGGGTTACGGAAATATCACTTAGATAAAATTCATTGGTGATTTGGTGGGATTTGAACCCGGGACCTCAGAGACTGAAGTCCTCCGCGGTAACCACTACACCAGCTCGCTCCCCGTTTCGTAGAGTACCCCACATATAAAACTATCTACAAGCAAAGAAAAAAAAAATAAATTAAAATTACAAAAATTAAATTGAATCATTTTTCACAGCGTGTGAAAACAGTTGAAATCATTCTAGTTGAAATTCAGTTTAACGACAACAAGCGAGCGTACGCACCACATGTGGACTGAGTAACATTCCAGCGTTTATGATCAGCGGCGTCGCGCATTGTGAACAGTTTATGACAGGGAGAAGCGTCATAAATATTACCTACGATTTTCAATAGTCATAGATGTAAATTACCCTCACATGACTTTATGCACTATAATTCTGTAGCGAATATCAATTTGGTATGCGTCGGCTTAAGTGCAGGTCTGGTAGCGATGAACGCCATTAGGATTTTTAAATTAGTTGGTTGTTGAATTTTTTTTGTTAATGTTAGCCTATGTAAGTAACTTCTTGATCAGCATTGTACGTGTTATTAAATTTGCTGAATGTAAATAAAAGAAACGTCTTATAACACTTAAAACATATATTTACGCTTATACTGTTACTCACAAGACGGTAAATATACACAAAAGATGGTAAGTGGTAATCGTTTTCTATTGGACACTCCTAGGGACCCACGATTGGATCTGATGATGATTAGAGTGTTCAATCGAAATCGATCACCACTTACCATCTTTTGTGTATATTTGCCGTCTTTTGAGTAACAGTATAAGCGTAAATATATGTTTTAAGTGTTATAAGACGTTTCTTTTATTTACTTTCCCTATGTAAGTAGCCCATAAGTATTAAAAAAAAAATGATGAGCTGTCTCATGTTTAAGATTCAGTAAAACCCCTAGCGACCTCCATAAATCCTTCGATACTACTATAAAGGATGTGTATGAAGAAATTCATTTAGCCTTTACTTACCAATATTTAAACTTAATTAAATTATGCAGAGTTTTGCAGCTATTTTTATTCGTAAATGAACAAAAACTCAAAATGTTTTAGACCATTGAAATATAAAAAGTTCTTTTTTAGCGATGTGTTCACTTATGATAAAAATATCTACGATTCTATGTAGTACGAAATAATACTTTCTAAATATTAAATATTGTTTTAAAAATAATTATTTGTCGTAAATACTGTTCTCAAAGATTGAAATTGCACGCCATGATGAAAGTGTGCAATGTTTTGACCGCTTTAATTCATTATGTTCATCTAATGAATTAGTACTGGAATTTCTAAAGAAACAACCAATTGTAAAAAAATTGATAGAAACGATCCTAAAACATCTACGACTCGATTTAAATCTTCCAAGTGATTTGAAATAAAACTACTACTTTACAACCTCTACTAATTAAATTCAGTTAATTACTCCTACGACCCCAGCGTAGGTTGTGCATGACCTGTGGTGAAGTCAAGATGACGAAACTCCAAATCAAGGACCTCCAAAGTCATTAGGAACTTTCACCCAAACAAAAGCCATTGTCAATCAAAAACACCAGCAGCAATCAAATACAGCTAGCAGGTTGGTATTGCAGTAGTACTTTGTTGAAAATTCATTCTTGTGGATAAAAATATTGTTTAGATTTGTCTGCCAACGCTTGTTGTATTTTCACGTTTGTCAACATTATGAGTTTGGGAAGGAAAAATCCGAATCTTGTCTTTTGACGTCGAACCGTAGTCATGAAATACAATTAAATCATAACTCCAATGGAAAATGACATTTAAGTCCATAATTCTTGGGGAATGGAATACAATAATACTGCAGTACCATCGGAGTCGTATTCGAGACTAGATACATGCTTGTTATAAATACTTGTGAGACAGTAACTCCTCCTAGGTAAGGGGTTTAAGTTGGACTAAGAGAGCCAATACCATAAAAATAGGACTAAGTGATCTGATTTGGTAAGAAGATCAGCTGTTATTTGAGCTGTTTATCCAGGACCATTTGAAAGCTGAGCCCAGTTGCGAACCATCAAAAGCTACTGGAGGTCCCATAATTGAACCGCCCACAATTCAATTTTCAGACATGTTAACCACTCAGCACACACATAGTCATGGGTTGGTAAAAAATGGTCCCCCAGAACCTTTGAAGAATCTGTCAATCTCTTTCAGTGGTACACCAGTGACGGTATTTGCGGTGTGCATATTCTTGTTTCAATTGATTATTGAATTAGGATACCGAAGGCATATAATATACATTATTCAACCACATCTTGGTATCTGGTCAACCATCTTCTCGTATGAAGCAAATCATACCACCAAATATCTCCATAAATCCGTCATGAAGTTACCATAGAAAACGCAATAGCACGCCTACTCTTCGTAGTCAATACCCAATGGCTACTGTTGTGTTTAAAGATGAGACGAACCACTCGTCTATTTTTTCTGATACGAAGATAATGTTTACACCCTTAAAGATATCAACTAAAGGTGTCACCACACATACCACATTAGAAACACACGTTACAATAGCAATGGCAACCGTAGTCAATGTCTGCTGTTGATTTTGAAGATGAGTTAGTCTATTTTCGACCTCATGTAAAGATAGTGTTTGCGCCTCTAAACATTTCAGCCTATGCAGCCAGCAGCAGCGTCACCACATCAAACACTTCAAACACACATGATACAATAGCAATTGCACACGAATGGTATCCATAGTCAATGTCTGCTTATGCAGATGTTCCTTTTGTCTTTAATACCCAGTATCCCACACGGTCGTCACGCTCGATCGAGCGAGAATCTTCGCATTCCTTCGTGAACGGGAAACGATACTGCCTGACGTTGGAAATGCTAATTCGTCCTTCGATTGATGGCCTTCCAGGGTAGACTCGCGGTTGGTTAACAGATTATGAAAATTGACGGTTGCCTTCTCCACTTTGTATCCTCGTTAGGTATCATTCGCTTTCTTCGTTTGTTGCTCAGGATACAGATGAAGCATTCGATGGCAAAAAAGTGTCTAGAATTAGTCAGTGGTGTCTAGGGAAAACTCCAACACCGCCCCTTCTTCCTCATGTTCATCGTGGAGGAAGATCCTGTGTTCTGTGCTATAGAGACGCTCTTCCTTGCTCGTCACTAGTATATTTCCCACACAACATACTGGAGCTGAAAACGCACAGTCGTTCACAAGGAAGTGTTCTCTATACCCTAATTTCCGTGGATTGCTAGGAAAAGGTTACTGTGAACTTTGGTCAGGATTAAGGTGGAGGGTGGAGATAGTTCTTCAGTTATGTTGAGACTGAGAGGGTTCAATTTTAAAATCACATCTAACCTCCAAGAGATTGAAATGGAATGCCGAATAATTGATCCGGCTAGGTCTAACCGCCTTTGTTTCGAGGAACCCAAAGTCCATGACTTTCCGATTAAGCTAAGTCCATTCTTTTCCATACTGACACGAAAATTTTGGACGAAATTTACTAAGGACCAACCGGAAGTTAACCTAAATACATTGCCTCCCAAGAGAACCTGGCTGAACCAAAACCATAAACCTCGTGAGCCAATCAATACACCTAGTTCTCGAAAGAGGACAAGTTAAGAGGCAATTTTCTCCGCCCTTCTTTTGGCTCCCTTCCTTTTCTAAGTCCTATACCAATTATAGGGTATCCGAAAGCCACTTTTGACTACTTCCAATCTTCTTGACACATTTGCCACCTTGGATACCAACCATGTACATTGAAGTATCCAGACCGACAATCTTTTCAAATCATCAAAGATTGTGTCAGTCTTAAAAACCTTTTAAAAGAGTGTGTTTCAAACAAACTTGGCACATACGCCAGCGACGGTAGTCCTGCTCCTGGAGTGTCCAGAGAGTTACAATCACATGTAGCTGATGCGTGTTACGTAGCTAATAGACCGTATGACGTCATCGTGCGTGCTGACCCTTCGTGTATCACAGTCATTACTAGCTTAATACCTTCATTATCTACAGTTTATGTATACTTTACATAACGGACCAGCCACTCCTGTTGAGGTGTTTGTAATGCGTTGTTTTAGCGGCGTGTTATCTTTGTGTGGAATTGTGTTGGGTTTTCTTTCTCTTGGTTAGTTCACTGCATCGTTGATTCATATTGACTTTGATTTGTGCTAAAAGATTCTTGCTACTGTAAATTTGACTGCATGTTTTATGCATGTTTCATATTGGTACTAAAACTAAAAGTTTATTAGTTTTGGTATATTTTTGGCTGATGACGACTAAATATTGCTCTTTTAATTTAGTGTGGATTTTTACTTTTTACTTTAGTCTTTGGTGACAATTCTATGGGAGATGTTTTTCCAACCAGATTGTTTAACTTGGCAAATATAGTTAGTAAACCGTAGACCTGCGGAATTGACTCCAGTTGTTCCGTAAGGATGATAAAATATGTGAGGGTTATGTTTATGTTGCGCAAAGTATAATCTTTGACTATCGAATAGTCAATGGTATAATAGTCTTTAAAATAGTACGGAGCAAATTATATTATATATTTGATCCTGTAAAAGATTCAGCTACTCCCACCAAAGTTGGTTGATTACGAAAATCCAAATGACGAAGAACGTTTTCAAACCTTTTACAACAACTTTCTTCAACAAAGAACATAGATAGACATTATATTTTCTTAAAAGTTACTTCGCGATCTAGATGGCACTGTTGTTTTCATTGTTGTTTTTTAAAAAACGCTCCTAAGAAACAGCTGATCTTTGTCGGTAAACATGGATGTCATCTAGTTCATTCACCACTCATTTTTCACCCATTTTCGCCTTAAAATATAAACCCTGACGTTAAAATAGAAAACTTCCATTGGTGTTAGCAATATTTAACACTCGCATCTGATATTCTGCGCTCTCATCATTAGACCGCTCTATTTTCGCTCCGCCACTGTTTGTTGCCATGCGGTAGGACAGAAACTGCAAGTCAAGTCTCGGCTTTAATTGTATCAGCTGTCAGGCGGCAACACACAGAGGTGCTGCTTGGCGGGTGACTTTCCCGCCAAACAGCTAACAGCTGATAATAACGAGCGAAAGGACATCCAATCAGAGCGTCGCTTGTGGTTCCGCCGGCCAATTATGTTGATAGTTTAACAAAGGTATTAAAATGGAGATTGCATGAATACAAATGCAAAGGGTACAATCACTATTTGAACGAGGTGTGTTTTTGTGAATTGTGTGCGTTGTTTAGTGTGGATGGAAGGGATCAGGAATTTGTCAGTGAAGGATTTAAAAAAGCCAAAGGATGGGACCATAGACAAAAAGAACTAAATATAAACTGTCAGCCGTGCTGCGGTTACCATAGGTTCTGGCACACACCTGGAAGCGCCGTGTAGTTACGTAGCGCGTACGCCGTAGCATGGCGCTCCCAGTGGTGTGCGCCAGAACCTATGGTAACCACAGCACGGATGACGGTCTATATTTAATTCCTTTTTTCTATGGTTTTACCCGACGGCACAGGTGATTTTGGTGGAGCATCTATGTTGGTTAGTAAGACTTTTCACAAAATTTCACACGAACATACAGCCACGACACGGGCGATAATGCCATTAAATAATGAAGAAAATTACACCTACACCAATGCTGCCAATATATGCATAAACGTAATGTAAAGAGCAACTGATGATGGCATAAGGTCGAAACATATTTTCTGCAAAAATGTGATTGGAAACTTAAGAAAATACAAATTTTTATAATATAATCAGTGCTACGAATCTTACATAATGAAATATCAATATGGCTACACGATTATGTATGTTTGACTGTGACTAGTTCAAACTAGGATAACCAATTTATATTGAACATATTTTCTAAGTTACAGTAGACAGTCAGTTGATATGTGTTTATTCAAGTAATTAAGCCAAGAAGAAGTACATTTACATTTTAATGGTAGTCTTGAATACTTGAAAGACCGGAACCAGAACAGAGTCGTATTCGTAGTTGGCAAAACAATATAAATGTGAGAAACAGTTAATTAGAAATACAAACTCCATCTGCTGTCCCTAATGATCACGAATGACGTGGAAATCCTATATTTCATTTTAAAACTTTCACTCGACAGAACACAAATATATAAATTGTGGGAAATGGTTTTGAAACTCATAATCCACAGTTCTTTGGGGGTTAAGAGTTACTCTTCAATTGTTATCACAACTGCATGTCATTTTCATTGAACATGTTTTTCATCTTTTCATTTAATCTTTCCATGTATCACTGATGTATCTGTACAACATTATCAGCATGTAATAAGCATCTTGTCGCATGTATCACAATGTAAAACGATTGTAAAAAATGGTGTTTGCCGTAAAAATAAATAAGAGTGATATTTCCAATTAAATAACATTCTCGATACGTCTTAAGTAATGCTTATTATGGCTTTAGTTACCAAACACATTAGGTCGGATTGTTAGGTTATTGAATTGGACATGTTTGAACTATAACTTTCCCAAAAAAATTGTGTTTCATTGAAGCCTAAAGTGACATTTTTTTCGTAGTGACATGCTGAACAATTTGTTTCATCATTATGCATTATTTAAGCTAACTAATTCACAAAATAAATCAATTTTTCACTGATAACACCAGTAAGTTAGCTCGTAAAACCAAATCCATCTCGTTTGACAAACTTCAACTTAAACATCAGCTGTTTCCGATACATTCGACTTTGTTTTGTTGAAGTTAAATTAATAATGTATTCACCAACGGCTTATAGGATGTTTTTCTCACCATAACGTCCATTTATTACAACAAGAATGGAGTAATTTTATTGCTGTAGAGTCAACTTATATTCCGGACGATTGCGGACACGGAATTGCGGACGACCAAGCAGCAGTAGTCACTAGTGTCCGCATCTGCCTACTTTAAGACATTGTCTACTGTTTAATCTGTGATTAAGCATATGTCCGCAATCCGCGTCCGCAATACTCCACGTCCGCAATACTCCGCTTCCGCAATACTCCGCGTCCGCAATACTCCGTGTCCGCAATACTCCGCGTCCGCAATACTCCGCGTCCGCAATGCTCCGTGTCCGCGATTGTCCGGTATTTAAGCAACATTTACTCCAGAGCCTGTATTTCCAATTTGACCAGTATTGTGTCGACAGTTTCATGGTCGATGAAGGGCCTCGGTCGACTGGCCGCCGCTGGGTCCGTTATGATGTTTGGCCACTATTAGACGACCCAGCGGTCAGTAACGACCCGGTCTTGACCCGTGGGATAACAAGAACTTTGTTGTCGATGTCATTCGATACGTTACACTGGTTTGCACTTCAGTTTACGCCCTACACTCATTGGAATGAAAAATATCGATATAGACTATTCGATATATCGATTATTTCATTCTGTTAATGGCTAGGTTTTAACCTAACTAACCTAAGGTGATATATCGAATGAAATAATCGATATATCAATCGATATATTCATTCGAATGAGTGTAGGACGTAAACTGAAGTACAGCCCTGTACATTTTCCCTCAGTTAATGTCTTTGACGGAAAAAATCAAATTTAAAATATATTAGCCTAAATCGGTATTTAATTAACCTGAATTGGATGCCATTATTATTACCAGTTCAGACGGAAACACCACCTAGGAGCGTATTTTAACTCAAATATGAGTGAAGGATGAGTGTAGAAAGAAGAGATACCTTGTGTACATTTGTTACTGACTAAGATCAGCTGTTTCATTAGAATCATTTATGAAAAGCCCAATTATCAAGGACAGCTGGGTACAGTTTCGAACATCATAAAACTACTGACTTTTCTCAGGATCGAATTGGCGACCTTTTGATTACTAGACGAGCACCATAACCAATCAGATACCCAACTTTATAAATTTAAACCCCGAGACGCAAATAAGACATCAGGATAAAACATTACAGAAAACATATCACAACCAATACGAAACCGACATTTAAGCTTTACTAATGTCATTGACTTCATGCCATTATTGTACAAAAAAACTTGAACCTTGACCTTTTTAAGTCCCAGGAATCTTCTAAGTTACTTAATGTGTTGTTGTGTGTTCCAGGGCGACCACCAACCGAAAGTTGAAGGAGACAGTTGCGCTAGAGTTGAGTTTCGTCAACTCAAACTTGCAGCTGCTCAAGGAACAGCTCGCTGAGCTCAACAGCTCGGTGGAACTCTACCAGGGGGACAGGTAAATATTGTGCAAATATTGTGTAATCCCTTATACGAAAAAATGCGTTTTCATTTTCCTGAATTAAGTTATTGGTACTACCTCGCCAATATTTGGGCCTAATTCGTGTTTTGATTCGCAGCCATAAAGCAAGAGTATTTGGAAAATTTGAAACCATTAAATTTAAGATTTTATAAGAAAGAAAAATCTTTATTAAAGTGGGAATTGTTCTTGATTTAATTTGTATTGTTGATATCATAATTTGTGAAAATGGGCCTTAACTGGTTAAAAACGAATAATTCCATAACCATTATATGTTTAGTATAGTAATAAAATAAGTCGATTCCAAAAAGAAAACACTCCCGCCGTAGCAATTTTCATAAATCAGTTTACAACGGTTTATTATTCCCCATACAAATAACATGGGGATTTTAAATTTAGAATCTATCTATATATTATTTTATTTTAATTTTTCTGTAACCATTGGGTGCATGAATTTACTAATATATCAAAACTCAACAAAATGGTTTTTAAATCAATTGTAAACTTTAATGTGTTTGGGGTTTTAATTTTTTTTAACAGGAAAACCTAATTTTTATCCCATAAAACCCCCCATAAACTCCGTTTCCATAGTCCGATTAGCTGATTCGTGAACTCGTTCGAATAAATGTAAGTTTACACGTTTCTACCAAATTTCATCAAAAAACAAATCATTTTTGCTCTAGTTATCGTACTAACGGACACATATATGAATTTGAACGGATTGTGTTTTTGGCCTTTAGGGACCTCAAACCGAAAAAGTAAATCGGTCCCGGGTCAAGGTCTTGCCATGAGTTCTACGGTAATAGCTTCGCCCAGGGAAGTGTCACTAGTATTTTCCGGGTTGAGTTGTTCCGGATGGCGGGTGTCAACCGGTAAAAGCTTCGCCCGATACCAAACTACCGTACCATGACCACTTGTCATTGAGGAAATGTCAGTAAATGCCAACCATGGGGAGGGGATCAAATAGTATGGTTATAAATATTATAAATTGTATTGTAATGAATTGTTTCAGTGTTTTCTCATTATTTAGGTTAATTATTCACCAATTAGTTCATTAAATAAAACTAGCTGTTACCCACGGGCTCCACCCCGTTTACTAAATAAGTATTAATAAAACTATTGATTGGTTAAGTTAAGCTGAAATAAACAAAACAGAATACAGTAATGGTAATACAAACAAATAATATTAGCTGAGGTATTTTTAACATTAGGTGAATGGAAAGTTCCCTTTGGAAAGCAATTACGACCTTAAAGGGCAATTTATGAAATAATGAATAATTTTGCGCAAGGTTTCTCGTCATGACGAACATTTTAAGTATATGGTTTATAGGGGTGTGACTTGTAGTTTTCTCAAAAGTTCATGGGTACTTTTGGCTTTATATTATAGATTTTAACAACAAGCGGCATTATGAAAAAATTTAATTCTTATAGCTGCTAACAAATATTACAGAGTTGTTTAATTTTATTATGACGTTGGTTCTGAAATGTTATTATTATTATTATTATTATTATTTGGAATTTTCTGACGTTTCTTGTGTTTCTGGAGGTGGATCAACTCCTCCCGTTAAGTGAAACTACTAATTACTACATAAATCTTTCGAACTCAAAAGGTTTTACATTTCTATGATGGAGGGTTAGTTAATGGTGTAAAAGAAATAAAATCTGTACGAAATAACAAAGTCATAATCTTTAATTTAGCAAAGAACGCGTTTAATTTTTGGTCCAGAAAGCCCAACTTTTTAATTTGGTTGTTTTAATTAATTTTATAGTTTACAATAGTACAAAATGTAAAACAATTACAAATTACTTATTTTATCACCCAATAAAAGATTTATAGATATTATTTATTACAACATGCGTTGTTTCGGTCGGAACTGAATACAGCAAGATGGTTTGCGGTGGTGCCTACAATTGCCAAACGCAATTTGGGTACAATTTGGAATTTGCGTCCGCTCGTTCGCCAGGCGTTCTGGAAAATCTAAAATATTACGAATCAAACAAAATACACGTTGTATAAACCTTTGTAGCCTGATTTACTTGTTGTAAAACGACTTCATGCTTTTTGTAGCATAAGAGTATTTTTTCAACGATTTTTCAATAAATATAAGCGGTAATCAGATATTGGCCTATACCTCACTTAAATACTTTTATATACAGATTGTTTTTTTTTATTTCACGACTCGTATGTTAACATTTACCAACTATTTAAATTTATTGCTCAAGTTTATCATAACATGGGAACTGTCTGGAACATATTTTCAACTTGAAGAAAATATTTGAGCAAGCCTTATATACTCATATATTATAGGATTAGTTTTGTTTCCATGATGTTTAGACAAACTAAAATTACTTAATTGAAACATAAATTTTGATATAACTAATTAGGGGTTACCTTATCCATGCTTTTCATTGCTCTAGGGTAATTTAACATGATAAATTCGTTATTATAAGTTTACAAAGTCTGGGATATAGTTTTTGGGGGTTTTCCACAAGTTTAAGTTAAATGCAATTAATTATACTTTAAAAAATGATAACGTTTTCTTTTTCATATTAAAGAAATTTAAATAATTACAAATACCACCTTAAAGCTGTATTGTTTTTATAATTTTTGTTTTTTGTTTCCAGCCCTGAGCCAGTAATGCCAATGATACCTCTTGGTCTCAAAGAAACAAAAGAGATAGACTTTCGAGAACCGTTTAAGGTAAATATGTTTTTTTTTTTTTATAAAGTAGATTTATAAAATGACTAAAGTAAATCAGGCAATTTAATTTTTCCCCTATTATCTTGAGTCTGTTTCAGGATTTTGACATAGGCTATCAAATCAACAAATGTATTAAGATCATATTGTAGGCTAGGTTCAAAATGTGAATATTTGCCTAATTTCCACCATATATTTATATTTTTGTCAACAGTTTTTCCACAAAAAGACTACTTGAAAATTCTCTAGTAAGTTTGTATCTAACGTTTGGATTTATTCAATTTTAATATTATTGATATTTTGGTGTAAAATTTGAGTAAGATCTCAACATATTTTTGTGTTTGTAGGACTTTATTTTGGAACACTATAGTGAAGATGGTACCAACTATGAAGATGCAATAGCTGAATTAATGGATTTAAGACAGGTTAGTTGCTTGGAAATACTCTTTTAAAGGTACCTACAGTACTGTATGATATTTACTTGAAAATATAATTGAAACAAATTACTATAGGTGCGGTAAGCTTTTCCTCTTTGGGAGCTAGAAATTTTATGAACCAAGGGAATAATTAATAAAAGCGATTTTACAATAGTCAAAACCTTAAGAATAAGACTCTCATGGGGATTATCAAATAAGACTTGTTATCAAGGTCGACTTCTCATCAAGGTCTGCAATTACATGTGATTAGGGGCAAAATAAATTCAATGGGATTTGAAAATAACACTTTTTATCAAGGATGACTTGTTATTGAGGGTCTTGTTGTGGAGGTTCCACTAATTATTATTATAATAGGTACAGGGGATTAATTTATTATTCAGTTATCCAACAATCATTTACAGATCCTAAATGAGGTATCTTTAAAAGTAAAAAAATAATATTTCTCATTTCACATTTTTGACAAAATATTTAGGTAAAAAAAAACTAGTCATCCCAACAGGTAAGCTAGCCCCACAAAAAATAGTACAGTATACGGAATGGTCAACGGTCTTAAATTTGAAAAGAGAAACTACAGGGTGCGACTAAAAAACGATCAATTTTCTGCAGCGCACTGTTCAGCGACAGGTCGTCTGAGGGTGGTAGGGTTAGGCTCGTTGGAAAGCCTACACTATGCCATTATCTGTGTAGTCATAGAATAGTGGTTGCCTGAGCTACGCGAGTTTGTTATCAAGTCTTGTTTAAAAAATAATGATTCAGTCGCAAATCAGCGGCAGTTCCGCACATACTTTCAACTAGGGTGAAGTTCTGTCCGTAGTACAATCAAGCGGTGGGCGGTGGGTTACTAACTTTATAACAACAACTTCCAAAGTGAGATAGGACGCCAGACAACTAACATTCGATAGAGTTAGAGCTGCTGTGAAAAACAGTCCTCGTAAGCCCGCCCGAAAACCAGCGGCTGCTTTTAACATGTGTCTGGGCGCTCGGGTACAGAAATTTTGAGGTTCAATCCTAATTTTCATTCCTACAGATTAATTTGAATTATCTGTTTACTTTTGTTGATTGTTCATACAGATAATTGAGGCAAAACCTCTCCGTGTCTACCTAATTGAAAGAATGCACGTGAGTTGTGACTGAATCACCACTTTTTATAAACGACTCGTTAACAAACGCATGTAGCTCAGGCGACCACTGTTCTATGACTTCATATTAATGGCAACCTGTAAGCTTTCCAACGAACCTACCCCCACCACCCTCAGACGACCAGTCCCTGAACAGTGTGCTACGGAAAAAAGATCGGTTTTTTGGCCGCACCCTGTATATACCTGACCTAAAAATGTTTAGAGTACAATTTATAGCATTGTTTGTAATAAGGAATTGTTTTTCTTCCTCAACAACTAATAAATACAACTATATAAATTATCCATAAAATTTATTTTCCAGGCAATGAGGACACCTCATAGAGACGCCACTGGGGTAGCTCTACTGTTTCAGTATTACAACCAACTATATTTTGTAGAGAGGAGGTTTTTTCCACCTGACCGAAGTCTTGGGATATATTTTGAATGGTAAGTCTCGCTTTACATAATGTTATCTAAAATAATGAATTTCCATGGTAAATGAAGCACCCATAGTTTTAGGAGATCAGCTAATTATTTGTTATAAATTTTGTAGGTGATATTTTACAGTAGTTCTATAGCCTGTATTTTGAGTATGTCCGAGTTTTGTACACATAATTTATCTTTTTAAACATTTTTTTACTAACATCAGCAAGTTTCTCCTGTTTACCTAGCAAGCTTGATATAGTAATACAAAATAAATCATTGACTAATTAACGGAATTGCTTAACTTTGTTGTGTTTAAGGTATGATTCATTGACTGGGGTACCGAGTTGTCAGCGAACGGTTGCGTTTGAGAAGGCTTGTGTATTGTTCAACATAGCGGCTCTATACACACAACTAGGAGCGAAACAAGACCGTCTAACTGCTAAAGTAAGTACGAGTTGAACATAAGAGATTATTTAATTAGTTAATTAAGTTTATCTTCCATGGGAGAGGCCTGTCTGAAATTTCCTGTATACCACCATGAATCAACCATTACTCAGGCAACACCAACAGAACATTAAATCGACGATTTAGAGAACATAATACAAGTCATCACAACAACCCTAAATCAATGTTAGCCAAATGCCTAAAACAAAGTTCAACTCACACAATAACTTTTCCCAATTTCCTCATGATTCTGAACAAAACTAATACTCAAAACCATTAGCAAAAGTACAAGAAAGCTACCAAATATAGAAACATGTAAATAAAAATGTTTCGAGCAACCTGCAATGCATTAAAGAAGCCTACACCTTTCAAATTAACCTTATTGAAATGGACAAAACTGGAAACACAGCAACAAATCGGCAACACTACAGATATCGAATCACCCATCCTCCTTTTACATAAACCAGGAACGTCTATGCTCAACCGTTAAACAACCCAAATGCCAACACGTCGAATAAATTAAATGGATGATTACAGACCTTCCGTGTGACTCCGCCAAGCGTCCGTCGATTTGTTGGACGATGGACAATTTTAGTAATGGCATTTGTGTATATATTTTTGTAAATATATATGCTATAGTGTTTGTGATAAAAGTATTCTAACAGTAAGACAGCTAAAAAACCCACACAAGGTGGCAAAATGCAGACACTAACATAACATCTTACCTACAAGAACTCAGACAACAAATCAAAGATAAATCTAATAAAAATAAAGTTCTTGAAACTGGGATTACAAAAATATCTTCCATTTGACTCTCATATTTTTATCTTCAACTTAAAATCACAAGTTTTTACTTTTCACAGGGGCTGGACGCAGCGGTAGATAACTTCCTAAGAGCAGCTGGCACCTTCACCTACGTCCATGAGAACTTTACCAACGCACCCAGTATGGACCTGGCCCCTCACATGTTGGACATGCTAGTACAACTCATGTTGGTCAGTAGAAATAGTTTAGTGATTAGGATAAAGCTAGGAATTCAAAATAGACAAACCATGTCTATAGATGTAGAGTCCCTCAAATAATGTTCAACCATTTTAATCTTCAAGAAGTGATATATTGGGCCAAAGACATCAATATGACATGTTCAACCATTAAGTTAACCTGCTCATGATTGATAACACTAGCACTGTCAGTGTATAGTTGTAATTATAGTTTATTGATATTACTATATAGTATTAAGCCAGTATAATCCAGATATCAATGTGAGGGCGTGAAACCCTGTGTCGCTTGAAATCATGAAACATAAGTTAAGTGTTATCTCTGGGTCAATTGAAATTAACTTAGAGATGTTCCTGAAGTGCAAAAATAGTATGAGTCAAAGAATGTTATTTAAATCTCCAAAGTTTTGTGATGTAATTACATTTTTACACGCTTTTTGCAGGCTCAGGCTCGAGAATGTTTGTTCGAGAAGCTCGAGCTTCAATCAAGGGACAAACGAGATGTCGACGTCTCATTGGACTTGGCTCAAGAAGCAGCACAGGTAACGTTTTGTTCAAAACTTCTAATTGAAAACATACGTTTTATGAAAGTGTATGTTAGTTTTAAGACAACAGTATTTTGATTACAATTCCTATGGGATTGTGTAATGAATCTAAGTCAATGACTATCAATTGTCACAAATCAAAGCAACACAAAGTTTTTCTAAATCAAATAATTCAGCTACTTCTGACTTCCAACTTCCATATAGACTTATAAACTTCTATAAAGATCTCAAATCCACCGACTAAACCCTCTATTACAGGTGTCGGAGGTGTACTGCTCCGTACAGACGCTGATATCCGTGTCCGCAGTGAGAGACTACGTGCCATACTCGTGGTTGTCGCTGGTGCAAGTCAAGCGTGAACACTACGCAGCCCTCGCTCACTACCATTCTGCCGCAGGATTGCTCGCAAAGGACCTAGACAGTCTTAGCTCCCGGACAAAACAGGCTCTTCAGCTGTTACATAGAGACTTGGACCCTCGGACGGCACTCGACATGTCTCAACCGCATGACGACCACGAGCGGAAACTGCTAGGTAAGATATTGTCCTTTGTTTATATTTAAGGAAAACATAGATCTAAAGGGCTTAAATTTTTAGGATTTTTTGAGAAGATAGCAGAATGGAAAAGAGTCCAAACTGGCACAGGAAACACAAAACTTTACACTATATACACACAAAACATTAGAATATTTAATTGTCACTGACAGCATTTTCAACTCAGGAAGGTAGAGTTTTATTTATGTCCAATATAATGGCCAGTGAGAGTTGTTGAGACAGTATTGCCAATAGTATGAATTGAAAAAAACACATTTTCGGTTGATCTTTTATACTCTATATACATGAATAAGTCTGTAAGTCTGCTTGTTGGGTTGGATGTTGAAGTGGAGTTGAAGTAGATATTTAATTTAATACAGGAGTTGATGAACACATATTCTTTCTGAACAGTTGACAGAATACGCCATCCATGTCATGTTTATGACACCATATTCCTTACATTTTGATTTTCATTGTATTTCTTCATTTGTCCAACAATATCTGAAAAAAAAATAAATTAGAAATATTGTATGTAGTGGGGAAAATAAAATCCAACAGAAATATCTTGAAAAGTAAAACATAGAAATAAAACTCACTTTAAAAAGAATTGGCTTTTCATTATCGTCATTTAAATTTCTAATACCTGAAAAAAATCCAAAATTAGAAAAATTATCCGCAAGTATCCTACTGTCTTAAAAATAGAACCTTGAAATAAAACTCACCTTAAAAATAATTGGCTGTTTATTATCTTCATTTACATTTCTAATATCTGAAAAAATTAGAAAAACTGTGGATGGGAAAAACGTAAGTATCCTACTGTCTTAAAAAATAGAACCTTGAAATAAAATTCACCTTAAAAAGAATTGGCTTTTCATTATCTTCATTTAAATTTCCAATACCTGAAATTAAACCAAAATTATAAAAGTTGTGGATGGGGCAAAATTAACGTAAGTATCATACTGTCTTAAAAAATAGAACCTTGAAATTAGACTCACCTTAAAAAGAATTGGCTTTTCATTATCTTCATTTAAATTTCCAATACCTGAAATTAAACCAAAATTATAAAAGTTGTGGATGGGGCAAAATTAACGCAAGTATCATACTGTCTTAAAAAATAGAACCTTGAAATTAGACTCACCTTAAAACAGAGAAGTGTTATATTTATTATCTTCTTTTAAAATCCCATGGGCTGGAGCTAAGGAGCTGGTCAACCAAAGGGATCACTACTCACTCGATGCCCTAGAAGCGCAAGGAAGTTAACTGAAATGAGCAGCCAATTGTCGTAAAGAGTAAAAAAGAAGGATCAAAAGAGTTTCTTATTTAATTTCTTTAGTCAACAATCATTGTGATAAACCTGAGGTGTTTGTCATACAGGTCGAGCACACCTCAGGGGAGCTCTCATGTTGCATGATGAAGCCGAGAGGTTGCTGCGGATGTGTCGGGAGTTACGCAACAAGAAAGCACTCGCCCAAGTGTTGTCCAGGTCTAGAGACGAGACCACAACTATGTACAGCAACCACACGGAGCAGATTGACGACTTCAGCGAAATACTCGACCCTCCTCACATTCATGGTAAGCTTCCTAGCCTTGTATTTAATTGATTGCTATTAACTACTCTAACAAAAATAATATTCACTGGTGTAAATACAGTGGACCCCCAATAAGAACACCCTTGATACAAGTGGCCGTTGATAACGAGAGTATTCAAATACCATTGATTTCATACAATAAGACCCTTACGTACATATTACAAAAACAAATCCTGATAAGAAGTCAACCTTGATAACAAGTCTTGTTCGATCATTCCCATGAGAGACTTGTACTAAGGTTCTACTGTAATCACCATTTCTCTCGGATTTTTTCAGCCTCCACCAAGTTCCAGCTGAGTCTGACGCCCCCGGACTTTGCCCAGTTGAGGGTGGAAGATCTGTTTAAAGGCCTAGGTCCGGTGGCCATCTTCTCCGCCAAGCACCATTGGACGGCGCCACGCTGTGTACAGCTCCACCGCGGTGACGGAGAGGTCGGCTTCGGCTTTAGTGTGAGGGGTGACTCCCCCGTCATCATAGCTGGAGTGGACCATGGCTCTTTGGCTCATGTGAGTGTATAGCTACTAGCATTTGAGTAAGACAAACAAAAATTGTAAATACTGAACTTTGTTAGATGTGTATTGTAGTTTTAAAACAGTTGATTATACATGAATTTTTCCCACCCTGCACAGTAAAACAGCTGGTTCCTGGTTCTTTTGTGGACGAGATAGTCATTGATTACAAAATGGGGTTGGTAAAATCAGCTGGAGTATGGTAATGTTATGAATCACTCTATTAGGGCACTTTTTGCAAAAAAAATGAGTTTTTTTATAAACCATTAACTCAATAAATGTTAGACTAGATTGGACAGGCACATAGCACTTTTAAAATAAGTAGGCCTATTGGAAATGTTAAAAAATATTCCTACTAAAATATGAAAATTCTGTTTAAACCTTGTGTTAAAATAATATTCTAATTGTATATACGCAGGTGTCACATATAGTTTTTACTGGTGGAGTGGAAAAAAGTATTACACAACCGCCACAGTGGGTGTTAAGGGTAGTCCCATGAAACCCCACACTTGAAAACTATATGAATCTTACTTAAGCACTAACTTCCTGTCCTTGTTATTTCATATAATTTACTAATAATTTATAGTGATTTAAGCCGCTACATTGATTATTTTTAACTGCCCTAACAGCCATCAAAAGAACTCACGGCAGATGGGCATGGATCTTGACTCGTTTCCATACCACCACCATAAAAAATTATTTGTATTTGTTTTAGTTTGGTGGGATGAAAGAAGGAGATTTCATCGTATCCATAGGAGACAAAGACGTCAAATGGGCTCTGCATGAGGAAGTGGTCAGATTGATCAAAGACGCTGGGGACTCCCTTAGTCTCAAACTGGTCACTCCGATGGACAGGAACTATCTCAAGGTATATATATATCAGAGTCTTGGGTTGAATAATAAATACTAGTAAGTATATAATTGGGGGACACCAAAGTCTCGTATAAGATGAAGGCTCATAAACCTGACCCAGATACTCATGAACAATAAAGACTAAATAAAAGTAAAAAAATAATCCTTTTAACAGTTTTAACCTATCTGGAAATAGAAAAATAACCTAATCGAGATATTCTACACTCACACAACCAAACTGTGCTGTTTTATGCTAAATTTTACATGGTAGTTTTATTAAGCACAGATTGTATTGGTCGCGTTCGAATTAACTATTGTATTTTGCAAAACACTTTTGTATATTTTCTAACCACTCAAATTACAATATCGATATTTTCCAGCAACCCTCGAGTAGTTCTCAGTCGAGCACCCACAGCAAGTCGAGTACCAGCAGCCAGCCTAGTCCAAGCAACACTACGAGTTCTCACAAGCGACTGACGTGGAACCCCTTCAGACGTCAGCGAGAGCGGGAGACGAGCTTCAACCTCATCTTGAGATAAACTCTTCCCTTAGACCTACCCTTAGTAGCCTTGTGGTAAATGCATTGAAAAAGATGATTACAGTAACATAACTCTTTGTCGAATATAAATAATACAAAGGGGAAAATTATGAAAATATTTTACAGATTAAATCTTTAGTCTGAAAAAGTACATTAAATATTTTCTTATGTTATCAGATTCTCTCTTGTTCACACAATTCTCTACTAGATTCTTGTCTCAACGTAAACAAGTCCTAATGGTCAGAAGTTATTTATAACTAGACAGTGAAAGAGGTTGTGACTTTGTTTTCATGTCAGAGTCTGAGCATGTGTGTGTGAGTTATGTAGGTAATTTTTAACTATTGAAAGTCTGAACAAGAGAAAAATCTACCGTACATGTTTTTGTATGGGTGAAAACCCTTTGAATTGGTGGTAAAGAAAATATTTTTTCAAGTACTGGTAAAACTGTTTGAAATTTGTTTTTAAATAATATGAAGAAAATCTTATAAGCCAATAATTCGTGTTTTAACTACGCTTTTAGCTTGTTGATATATCATACTATTTTTTAGATATATAGTTGAGTGTAACTTGGAGGTCTTTTAATTTTTTCATTTTTGTATTGATATAATTGTTTAATTATTTTACAATTTTAGACTTTGTTTTTGCAATAATGTTTTATGAATACCAATATACACAAAGGGTAGTGTCTTTATAAATGTATATTTTATAAAAAAACCTTGTTTCTGTGTGCATAACATGTTTCACTTATCTTAGTTAATATTTATTTTTTCTTAAATTTTAACTATTTTCTTGTGTTCTAAAAAAGGAAAGAAATATTAAATGAATGAAGTTAATTTCAAAAACATTGGAGTAGAAACGGTTCATACACACAGAAACAAAATCATTATTTACGTGCCAAAGTATATATTGAAGCTAATAGTTGATCAATTTTAATTTCTTCAATTTTCAATGAAATTTTCTAATGATGGTAATTATGTAAATAGTATTAGGTTGTATGTCTACACTTATATTTGCAAAATATAATAGAAGGAATGTAATTAATAAACAAATATGAAATAATATGAATTGAATTTGTAAAACCGTTTACTCTAAAGTAGCATTACTATTGTTTACTGTAATCCAAGTTTTAGTTTTTCATGGAGTAAGTTTTGAGAACAATGTTTAGTTATATCTGTAAGGATAAGTTTTTAAAGGAAAATCTGTCTATTTAATAACATGAAGTATATTGATACACTGTGTATTATTAATAGCTTTAATTTAAAATAATAAGACTGATATTTTAAATGTTTTTTTGTAGATTTCTGTTCTAAAGGATATGGTTGGGGCCTGAAAATGTGGGAAGTGTTGTAAAATGTTTTAAGCTGTGTATAAAGATAAGAAATCTCTTGTAAATAAATGTGTAATTATCGTACTTCAATTTACAGATTTTTTCCCTGAGACTTAATAATAACCTTGATTACTTGGTTTTACTGGATGGATTCACACTTAAGGGTTGGTTTTGAAAGGTGATTAGATGTTTTACCCATCAAGTGTATGGGAAAAGCTTGAAAGTTTCAAATATTTTTAACCACACTCCAATGTTTTTAGCCGTTTTACAAATGTTTATTGGAGGCCGAAAGATACATTGCTGACCATGCAGCTGTCATCATTAATTGGGAACCGAGCAGGTTTTTACATCCCTAGGGCCGAAAACCAGCTGTTTACTTATTTACTTAAAACATTAATGTATATTAAATACACCAGCAGTATCCATATGCATTGCAATAGACTTGTTTTATTGTCACCGCTGCCTAAGCAACTATTTATTGTTATTTTTGCTAATTCCTCAAAATATTTCACATAACCTCAAAGTTGTAGTTGTGTTTCTGTTGGTGTGCTTGGTTTTTTTCATTAAAGTTACGTTAGTGGATAATTTCACAAATCAACTTCTCTAATTAATTAGTCCAACGACTAATTAATTCTAATTGATTCGAGGTAATCAGTAAATATAAAACCATCACTATTATGATTTTATGAAATGTGGCACAAATAAGGTCAAATTTTGTGAAGCTCTGACCTACAGTGGTAGCAAAACGGGAGTGCCGATGGAGACCTGTGGGGGTGCGTGCATTTAGAGGGACTTGACCTGGTCTCCATCGGTACCCCCGTTTTGCTACCACTGTAGCAATGTACTAATGGGTGAGATACTTGCTCAATGAAACTAGTTTTATGGTATTTTTTAAAGTGATCGAGCAAAAGTCTGCCGCCAATTTGCCAAACTTACATACATTACATTGTTTTTCTTGGCGGAAAAAGTAATGATTTATTATCTTTTTTGGATTGCTGACTTGGCGGGGAAAGTGTTACCACGAAAGAACACACGGGGAAAGAACACACGAAACATTGAAAACATTTAAAAAAGGGACAAAAACTCTGGTCATTGTTTGTAGTTCTACAGTTTTTGTCTCCCTTTACGATCCATCACATAAGACCAATAGATAAAGCACTTCTATACAGCATGTTTTGCCAGAATCGGCTGGTGCGTCTGACGCTTGGGGTATTATGCCAGAAGCGTCTATTCCTTGCGATTATTTGATCAGTGAATGGTTTTCTTTGGTGGCGAAAAGAGTACACTGTTTGTAAAATGAGCTGTAAAAAGCAAATAGTGAACTATTTTTTAGCTGAGGAATTGGACGATGAAATGATTTTAGAAAATGGTGTGTGAACCCACGGAATAATTGCGTTCTATGATTTTAAAAAGACTTAAAGAGGGGGGTTATAAATTATTTTAAATAGAAAATCATCACAGTTCTAGAGAAGTGGGGTGTGCTGAAATAGATTCAATCAATTTATCATATTCTTTGCTATTAAATCCCCACGCTGATTGTGACATGTCATTAAACTTACAAACTGGTTTAAAACCATAACTTTAGAACAGTCAACAAAAAAAAAACACGTTTTTATTCTTCTAATAGACGCTAGCGACTGCATCTCCGTCTGCTCCAGGAGATGGTTAACGATAGACGCTAGCGGCTCAGTTAAAGGCCTATTTTGTTTGGAGCGACTATCGCAAGAGTCGCTAGCTACAGTCGCGGACCACAGCCGCCCCGGGTACCAGTCTGAGCGATAAAACCTGAAACAATGCAAAGCAGTGGGCAGCGATTGAAGCACCAAACTGTCGAAATCGAGTGTACATATTCCTCATGGGACCTTGATTCGAAGAATGTAATTTAAAATTGCCAATTTCATTATGTATATAATTTTAATTTGGTTAGATTATGTTGGGTTGGGTTAGGTTGGATTAGGTTAGTGTTAGGTAACAAATCCTTTATTGTAAAAATATGCTTTTGTCATTGTATTTTTATTTTTTGTACTTTTATTTGGTCTTATGAGATCGCCGAATATGAAGTTATGATAAAAGATTCGTAGGCCCGTATTATGAACCATTTTTCTTGAGTATATCTATGTCCATATACCCTAAATCACTTCATTTTAAAAAGATAGTAGACAAGGAATGGTAATATGTACATATAGAGTAATGGCATTCTTTATTTGATTACTTGTATTACTTTTCAGCAGACTCTCTTTCAAAGTCTCAGCATACAACTTCGGACTCATCGTTTGGCCCATATCCTCCAAATACTTTGATCTCCTGTAAGGTAACCGATGAATTTTTTATTGTCAACTTAAATAAGTGTTTTTTTATACCCTTGCAATAAAAATACATTCATACAAAAATAATGACCTATCTTTCCATTTGTCCTTTTTTCCTAGCTTTGATTTTTAAATTCAACAATTATAGATTCCGTAACATAAAATGAAATACCTATATAAATATTAGGCATATATGTGAGTGGTTATAGCCTTTTAGGTAAAAAGTGGATTTCATCCCACTTAACGGCATTGCAGTGAGCGGAGCGAGCGAAACTCTTTGAGATCGGGCCTTATGCAAACTTTGCTATTGTATCCAGCAATAACCACTGAACATGTTGAAGCCAACTTTACCAGGGTTATTTCCACAAACATTGAGCATGTTATTTAACAAACATATTGATTGACAACTTACATAAAATGTTTACATTATCCTTATGGGTTGCTATGATGGTTACGAGAAAACAAAAAACAAAAAAACAAACAGAAAGTATTACAAGAGATTAGGAAAATGCCACTGAATAAAAAGGTACAGTATTTTACAATTTTTTTTTTCAAAGCTACGAATAGGGTATTAGAAAACGTTTATTTACTGTTTACTGAATATAGTACTGGTGTGTTATTCTTATGGAGAAAAAGCAAACTGTTGTAGTTTACTTGTTTATAAACATATTTTGATCAAACTTGGAAAATGTATTTATTTTATACTATTAGCCTATATTAACATTTAAGTATAAAACACTGAAGCTTGTTGTTAAGCTAATGTTATTTAAATAAGGAATAAATTTGGCATTTTTAATGAGATACGTTAGTGAAAATCCAATCTTAGTCAGCAGATTTGCTGCGACGGGGGTTTTATTATAACTATGCATATATAAATGTACATAACTTTTTTATCATTAGATTATTGCAATAAAATTTGATTTGTTTTACGACGATTCCTTTAAATTTTATTGTGTATTGTTTTTTCAATGGATTGGTTTCACAAAAGTTTACTTTGTAAATTTGAAATAATGGCAATTTTTATGTTGGTAGAAATATTGTAGAAAGCATTTATTAACAAACGCCTTAAAGCTTATACCAAGTTTCATAAAAATACCACCAATAGGCTTCAAGTTATTAATGGGAAAACTGTGCCTAAAGAAAAAAAATTAGTTACTGAACATTTTTAAATTATTTTGGAATGTAAAAATATGACAAAACGGTGGTAACGATATAACAATGAAAATCACCTGTCTTTAAAAATCATAACCAAACATGAATCAACACATAGTGTTCAACGTTTACACCTACCTTGTTATCTTCGTAGTACATTCGAGGGTAATGAAACGGCTTTGGTTTTATCGGACAGAGATTATCAATAGCCTCACCGGCGACATCCACATGGACTACGAGCAAGACGACCGAAGTGTATTCATTCATATGCTTTCTCCTCAACCAACACTGGTAAATATAATAACATT